CTGCTCCTGAATGTTGCCTGGTTTCTGACTGGCTCGTGTTGAGTATTTCCTCTGCTCTGTTGCTGATGATGTGGAAATATGATTCAGTTAGTTTCTGTTAGAACACTGTGTAGAACAACTGGTCCGTCTCCAGCTGATAGCATTGATTGCACACTGGCTGTGGTGAGGTGTGTGGGCAGCAAAGCTTTTGACTACAGATTATTCTGCCTGAATCAGTATCTGTTCAAAGGTCATATTAGGTTATTGATTCAGGAACTTCATTTTAAGAGGGTTTTAAGTGGCCTGGATCAATGACTGGTGTTTTTTCTTCTTCATGTGCTCTTATTAGAGCCAATATAAAAGTAATGGAGATCCTTGCTCAGTTTCCCTATCATAAACCTCACAATCAAAATGGAATTGATTGATATCTCATCATACAAAATGGTTTTGTGCTATTACTTAATTGTCTTGTACAGTGTATTTCCTCTCAACTCTCAGCATGTGGTTTTCTTTGAGGTGTGCTAGGCCCCAGCTGCTCTGAATTCTCCTGGATTACAAGATATCACACACTGACCTGAGTGGAATAAAGAATGACCAGCATTGACTAAGGCAAATTGAATTACAAGTAACTGTCATTTGTCATCAAATCAGTATTATTCAGCACTGGGATATATGTTCACTCACCAGATCATGTATGTCAAACAATGATAAATACCTGACTAGGAATGATAGCCTGAAACATTAACACAGCCTTTCTGATTTTAAAAATAACAATATATTCCATTGAATTAGACTACAGTACTGATGTTAATTATGTCAAAGTGTGCACTAGCTCGGCTAGTTTATTATTATTTAAAAAAAAGAGGGCCATGTGTAAGACACGTTTGTGCACTTAGCATGTTTTACCCAATTTTAATAAATTATTATTATTATTATTATTATTATTATTATTATTAAGTAGTTCAGTTTTTGGTAAAAAAGTTGAGACAAATTTCCATCCTTTATTTCTTCTATAACACAGGCCCCAGTTCCCCCAAATACCTCAGCCCTGTTTTCAAGGAATTCAGGTGATAGCAGTTACAGCATTACCTGGTAGCTGGTAGATATTGCCAAGAATCTGGTGTCAATTACTGGCAGTGTGGTGGAAATATACTTAGATGTTGTGAATGGAACATCCCCAAGAAAACACTGAATGCAAACACAGC